TATTTGAATATTTCACGTAGCAATACAAAGTTTAATTTAAAGTACTAAATATTCAACTTCATAGCTTCCCTGCATCAAATCAAGTGGTGACGTTAAGTTCTTTTGTTCTAGTGATTTTTAGAATTGTTAGAGACAGATAATTCAGTGGGAATATTTTCAACTGTGAATTCCTGTTTTAATTGCAACTTAAATTAAACATGTTTTAAATCAATAATATCAAAGGATATTTAAAACAACGCGATGAAACCGATTTGAATCTTTCAAGTTGATCACGTATTTGATATTTATATATTATGTGTTTCTAAAAGCGAAGAAATTAACCTGAACACGAATCAAAGATCACTACATACTCAATATGGGAATGATCGAGCCGATACTTCGAAGGAGGATCGTTTCCAGGAAAAGCGGCGTTGCATCCTTCGAACGATCAGCCGATCATGCAACAGATTGAACGATGTTTATCAAACGAACCGATACAAAGCCAGTATTTCTAGTTTTTTTATTTAGACTCGGCTACTTTTCCGACGCTCCTTACAATCATTCATCCCGCGCAGTTAATGGAATGCAAATGCGAGCGTGCTAACGGTGCATGTCAGTTAATTAGGAATCATTACGTTGTAAATCATACGCGGTCACTTAAACTGTAACTTCATTGAACGTGCCGCGGCCGAGTAATAACAATCAATTTGTAGCCTTCATCGTCCGCAATAAATTTATTATCGCGGGTCATTGCATTATACGTCATCCTGATCGACAGATCGATCGTTACTCTAGCACCTACCGAGGATCAATTATAGATCAATAGACGCGGACGTGAAGAACCACGGGCAGACCGGTCCCATTCGTTTCTTACTGTTTGCATACCATCCTTAGATAGATCGTATAGCGAGTTGATTGCGTCTGAACACACTGGTTGAATATGGTATTGCAAAAATACAGATTTTTCAGATTCCACGGCTTCCTGTATCGTTCTAGGTGGCTTTGTAATGGACACCGGACCGTATAATATAATACCGCGTTCCGTTCGTTGTCCCTTTTTTTCCCCCCCGCCCGTTTCATTGCCAATCAACTTGGATATTTAGTTCTTTCGTTTAAGTTGATTCATGATCGGTCTCTATCAGAGGATGTCGTACTAAAATCAATTTATTGTATTGTAAAGTGTCTCCTAAACTAAGCCGGTTTCTTTTCGGCATAATAATGAGCCGCATTTGATTGCGCATCGCCGCGAGTTTAAGTTGCGCGGAACGACGATACCCGTGGTCCGATTACGATGTCAATGTAAGGCGGAGTGTATTCGTTGCGTTTATTATTTTTCGATGGATTTTTATGTGTACCCGGGAATCAATTTTATTGCAAACGCATTCAGCGATCGGAAGGTAAAAAGCGTTCATTAGGCGGACATTAATTTGAGGGTATTATTAGAAACGATTACGGTTTACGTTCATCGGGGCTGGCAAATAATAGTATGGCTTCTACGGCGCTCGACTATCTTTGTCAATGGAGTTCGTAACGGGACGAAACGAATGCAAGTGTGATGAATCACGTGTCAGTGACCAGGCTCCGTAATTACTTAATATGTCTGTAGCAGTGTTAACGGTTTGATTTTTGAAGCAAAACTTAAGAGGTCGTTCCCTTCAGCATTTGGAAATTAAAGATTGGATTACTTCGGAAAAAATAACTGATAACTGCTAAATAATTAATAATTACATGTGATCGGAGTTTCATTTCCAGTGATCATTATCGATCGCAGAAATTCATTTTGCTTCTACAATTATTAACAATCATTTTCTCCGAAATAATATACTCTAATCTTCAAATACCGAAGAAAACGATTGTATACTTTAACCCTTTGCGGACGACTGTCGACATTTTGGCGAAATGAAATGTTCATATTTGGAAGACCTGTGAGTTAATTACTCGAACATCTAGAGATCTGCACAGAGATTCCTTTTTCTCTATTTATTAAGCGATTGATAAATCATTTCGTTTCGTCTGTTGAAGATTTTGTACATTCCTAAGAACCTTCGTCCGCAAAGGGTTAATTTCTGTTTCAAATATCACTATTATTGTTTCAATATTACACTCAAGTATTCTGCTAGCTCACTTCTGTCAATTTTTTCCAATTTCTTTGTCATCCACGTTACGCTCTTTTCTCGCGACAGGTAAAGTAGAAATACTTCCGGCACATTCAGGATTAATTGACAAACTAATTATTATCGTTAATTCTCTGTCCATTCTGGCCACGGGAGTCGTAATTATGAAAGATCCTTTGAAGGAACGCAGTACGAAAAACTGGTAGACAAGGCTGGCGTACGCCGACGCTACTAACGAAAGTAAATACCCTTTTAGAAATGAAAGTACCCTCATGGGCGTAAACCCGTCGCGACGGTGCTCGAATATTGTACACGCTTCCTTTACATTGTGGGTCGGGCACACGGAATCGGCTCATTTGTTGCGTATTAGTTAGGATTAATGAGCTCCTTAAAGCTGCCGCCTTTTGCGAACAGCCAAGTGACTTCGAGTTTCCGAAAAAGAAGGACGGAAAACAAATGAGACACGCCTACGGGGCCCATACCCAGGATCCCGGCACCATTCGAGGGATCGAGGAAATTTTCAAATTCACGGGTTTACGCTTACAACGAACCGCACGATAATCGATTTCATTCCGTCTGGGTAATTATGTCACGTTCGATACTTGGCGAAACGTGGATGCTCTAATCGATGTATTTGTACGTTGCTGATTTTGTAATTTGTATCAAAAAAAAATATAATTCTAATATTAACACGTTGACTGCCTCACGACTTTGCCGAGAAAAATATACAAAATGAAGATAATGTAATATCAACTGATATAATTGAATTAGGTTGTTATTACCGCAGGTTTGAATTTTTGAATGTCAGTGCGTTAAGTAATCATCGTTTAATCGAATGAATTATAGTAATTCGATTTGGTTGAGGTCACCGGTGACCACCATGGCATTCAACGTGTTAAATGCTTTGTGTATTTTCTAAATATATTTATTATATATAGCTGTATTGTGTATATCTTCTAATATAATAGTAAAGATTGTCTTTTGCCGCGTTGATTTTCTCGGTAAGAGCGCATCACAAATCCAATTATTTTGTTAACGTATGAATTCATGTTTACTAAGTGACGGACGTATTTATGAACTCCTGTAGCGATTCTAAGTGGTATAACAAGCTCGAGGACCAACGTAGTTGTTTGCAGTGGTAAAAATAATCATGTTCAACACGATTCGTCAATAAAGATGTTCTCCAGTGGATCTTGCGTGCCAGGCACGTTAACGACGAATATTGTCGTGTTTCACAATATGTTGGATTCGAGAACTGCTTGTTTCAAATTATTGTTACGTCTTCATTTGTTGCGCAATTTTTCGTCATTAGCTCTTAAATATTTGCCGTGACAATAACTGCGTTTCCCAAAGCGCGACCACGTGAAAGAAATTTCGTAACTTCAGATTTTTCCGCTTAAATCATTCGTAATACTTTCTTAACGAATTTACTTTACAGTAATGGCCATGAGCACTGAATAGTTGCGATAATTGTACTTTAAAGTTTTCTAAAAAACTGAAGAAACGTTTCCTTGGGAAATCGTTTTCGACAAAAATAAATGAATTCGACTGAACCCACAACGTTCACACCGAGATTTCGTTCCAAGATACAGGCGTCGCCCTCATAAAACAGTCAAATTTGTCCACACTTTCCAGCCCTCTTGTCTCTACGACATCGTAAACTACGAAGGCAGAGAAGAAAAAGGAACGAGAGAAGCTACAATCACATCACATAATAACTTAACAGTCTATACAGTAGAAACATACTACAAAAACAATCATTCTTTATATAGAAGATCATATTTATTTTCTTTGTTTTTAGGTCGTATCGACTTTCTCTGAACAAATATGACTGAAAATGAAAGAAACGTTCGATCACTTATAATCCTGATTAGTATCAAAAGCATTTAATCCTTTAACACTGCCACGTCACTCGAATTCGAGTGACACCATTTTTAACATAAACCTAAACATTAATTTTCTTGGTATATCGAACGAAGTTTCATTAGAAGTATAAGATACAGGAAAAACAGTAAACTAATCGTTACGAAGAATCTTGACCTTTTAGTTTCCGCTTTTTTGAGAACACTGTTTAGACTGCACAATAGTTTCGACGAGTGTTTACTTGACAGTCAAAGTGTTAATCACGCAGCTTCTTGAAAAGTCTCTACATTCTGTAATTGGCATCCGAATTTTCACCGAGTCTCCCAAAAATTCGTCATAAATCGTGACTATTCTCCACGGTCCCCGCTGCAATGTCAAGATCGTGGCGCCAAACTCCCAGAATCGTATGCGTGTTGCGCGCGGCACTCGGCAAAGCCAGCGAGCGCCTTTCTTTTATGTCGATCGTCTCTCGACTCCAGCTTCCCGAGCCCCCAGCAAAGAGACGAAGGAAGACGGGGGGCGTGCCCGGTCGCGCGGCTGCTACAAGGAGATACCGACTTCCCTGTGGATCCCTTCCACTCCTCGGGGATCCCTTCCACGTGGGCTCTAGGAGTTCTCTGCCCCCACCATCGGGCCCCAAGAAAACTGGGCAGCATGGTCCAGACCACGAGATCACCAGGTGAAGCCAGTTTACGCAACGCTTCCGTACGCGAAGCATTTACGGTCACATCCAGAGGATCCCGAGAGTCCTTGCGATTTCCAAGAAGAACCGTACGAGAACCATGGTATCCTGTGACAGCGCCAGCGTTCTCGTCTAAACATGTTCTAACCTCGAGACCGATCCGAACGTAAAAGTCAGGCGTCGGGTAATTCTCGTCCGGAGAAGAATATCGCTGCTGTCACCGGCGTCGTTCTGTCCTTCAATGAGATGACAGCAGCCTAACGAGGTCTCGGATCCCCGAAGAGTTTCGCTGCGTCTAAGACAATCGTCGGCCGACAATCCGCTCGAGACAGCACACGAGATAGAAGAAACTTGAAGAAAGAATGTCAACCTACGCGAGCTTCCAACAGTACGACCTGCTGGACTCCGAGGGCTACGGGTCAGCTAGTAGTCCAGAGTCGAATCCGCGCAGCTGGACGCACCAGGAGATCTACCCTCAGCCGCCTAGGTCCAGGGGTAGCAGTTGCGGCAGCGTGAGCTCCGTGGACTGTCAGAACCGCGAGTACCAAGAGATCGGCGTCGCGAATGGCAGCTTCCACGTGACCAGCTTCAACTTCGCCGAGTTCCACGAGGGCTACTACCAGAAGAGCTGCCGGAACGAGCATCAACCGGGCCACGCCGGCGACGCGAGATCCGCGGCGAAGGACCACGGGAAAGTGGTGTTTAGGATGAACGAGTGCATGGAGAACGTTTACGATTGTGCGACCGGTCGCGGCGAGTTCGCCGGGCATAGTACGGACGGCAAGCAGAACTCGGCCGTCTCGCCGAAGGTGGAGCAGAGCTCGGGGCAGGGCGCGTTCGGCAGTTCGAGGTGCGAGTTCGGCCAGGGCCAGGAGAGCTTCTTGGCCGGGAAGAGTTACGGTGTCCCGAAGCCCGATGGGTTTTTGCCTAGAAGTAACGGCAATCCTTACGGGCAGAGGGGCGACATTCTTTATTTGGGTGCCGGGTACAGCGTCCAGAGGAACGAAAATTACGCTACCGAGAACGGGCAGGGCGGCAAGTGCGTGCCGTCGCGGTACCACCAAAAAAACGACGCCGCCCTGCACATCGCGTCGATGGAGTACACCGGGCAGAAGGCGAAGGAGACGATGCAGAAGATCAAAAACGGCACGCCGGGTATCGAGGTGCTCAGGAAGAGGAGGCTCGCGGCGAACGCGCGCGAGAGGAGACGGATGAACAGCCTGAACGACGCGTTCGATAGGCTCAGGGACGTCGTGCCCAGCCTCGGCAACGACAGGAAGCTCAGCAAGTTCGAGACCCTGCAAATGGCGCAGACTTACATAGCGGCGCTCTACGAGCTGCTGCAGAGGGAATGAAAACGGCCGTCGCGGAACGTCCGCCGGTAACGGACGTTCCCGTGGAAACGCTCGGGGACAATGGGTTCCATGGAATCTGAACGATTAAGATGTTCCCCCCTTCGCCGGGTGGATCAGAGCACTCAGAGAAATGAGCATTGTTTCTTCCAGCAACGCTGGAGCGCTCGTTTCAAGTACAAAAATATTCAAAGTCGCGGCTCCCTTGTGCCCGGCGACCTCGCTCGCGAGAGGAACGGGGCAACCCTCGGCTCGCGGGGGAATATCAAGCGCACTGCCGAAACCGGCGTCTCAAGGTTTCCAGTTCTTGTAACTGGAGCAAGGTTTTTTGGACCATCGCGATGTCTTAAATTGCGAAGACGACGGGCCCCAACAGTTACGCTGTTCTTCCTCGATCGAGAAAATGGCCTTACCCCTGTCGCGGCGTCCAGCGGCCTGGCTTTCTGAACGAGCGGTCATGGCGATTCTACGGGCCGATCTATCGGCGATTGGTCGACAACGTTCGTCGAGATAGAATGTAAGTAAGAAGAAGCGTCAGCGTCGTTGGTACCGTCGATGCGCGATCGGAATTATCGGAGATGTCACTGTAACGAACGGGACAGTCCGCGGTTGAGACTTCGATCGCTTGTTTTCGGATTAGGATTTTGAGGAGTAGGATTTTTAGTAATTTCATTCGGTATGTTGGATACGTGGTTGAGTCTCTTTTTGAGCTTCTTTCAAAGCGGAATGTTAAATTTCAGAATTGTTTGTATTGTCATGATTCTTTATGTGCTTCTCAATTATGTGATCGTTTCAAAGGAGATACGTATATGTTTACAATGTTGTTTATCAAGTTTGAGCACCGAGTAGCAGTTCGGAAACTTTCTTTCTGAAAGATATTCTTGTTTGTTACGTAGATGTTTGGTAAAAAGAAATAGTTTTGCAAGACAATTTACAGATGTGAACACATGAATTTCGATTATTACACATTGAAGAATTAACGTTTCACCTTTGACACATTGGGAGATCATGACGAACTTTAAGACGTACGATCGCGAGAGGTGCATCGTATTAAAAATTATTTACAGTTATTTTTGCACAATCAAATTATATGTGTTTTGATCGTCCAGGATAGTTTAATTAGCAATAATTACAGCGCGCAAACGCGGTACACGATCCTCGACGCTAAATGCTTTTTCCTCGCGAGGGAATGTTGCCAGATTCCGGGAGATTTTTCAGGAGATCGACGTGTGATAATATTGATGATACGGGAATAAAACGAGTCTTAGGAAGTTAGCACATTACTGTCCGGCACAGTTGCGCGGGAAGTATCTCGGACTGAGAACGGTATAATGGAAAGTACACCTAATAAACGCTATTTAAAAAAAAAAACGTATTTAAATAAAAGTAATTGAAAGAAATCGTTAACATTAAGGTGTATTATTATCACTGCGTCAATATGTACCGTTAAAGGGTTGTCGAAAATCTTAATTCTTCTTGATTTCACCACGATTTGAAATTTGTGTTGCAAAATGGTGAAAATTTGATTGTATATGAAATTTGGTGTGTAAATCTAATTTGAAGATAATGAGCTATTTAGAGTCTTTTGATATTTCATAGAACTTCCAACAAAGGAAAAATCAGGTCTAACCTTAAAAGGTCCATATTGCCATCCATGTTGATAAAAAAACATATTGCCGGCGGTTACGAGTACTGATAATATTAAATCGTCGGCATTTTGCATGGAGTTTGTGAAAAAATTCAATTTACAAATGTCCAGACGGTAATGTGTTGGTATCGTAGATTGATATCGAAAAGAATAGAGAGAGAATGCGTGTGCACGTGTTGATAAGGCTCATTTTAAAATACGGAGAAGTCGCTTGATCGATGGAGGTGCGAGAGTCTGAAGTTTGAATTGTAAATAGGATACTATGTATCGTTTCATCGTTAATCGTAGATTTTGTGTAAATATTTCGATAGACGCGACTAAGTTATTGCGAGGCTGTATGATAATTCTGTGTAAATATAAATAAAAACGGATCTCCCGATCGTACTGATAATCACGCGACTACATCAGCCTAACACCTTTGCGCCAGTATAGACTCTACACAGTAGGATTCGATTGAATTAAACCTTTGTACGACGAATGGGTTTAGATAACAATGAGATTGATTTATTAGGTTGAATTCATGAATCATTTTTCTTTGTTCTTTTCAGCTCAATTTACAATTTACATTTCTCTTTAATATGTCCTGTATTATTATTATTATTATTATTATTAATATTATTATTATTATTGTATCTTTCTGTATTTATTGACGTTATCGAATTTCGTTTGTCCGAGTGTTGTGAAACGACAGAAGTTTGATTGTAAAATAGAGGAACGACAAAGGTTCTCTCGTGTACATGTTGTAATTTATCGATAGAAAAATCAGCATGAATTTACGGTACAAATTAATATTACCTTGTAAACTGAAAAGAGCGTTGAGTGTCTTGAAAAGGAACGTCGATGAATATTGTAAAGACAATAAACAATGTAATGATTGAAGTACCTCGTAATTTGTAAGGAATATTGAATTTCACGGTCGAATAAAGGTTTCCCAGGCATACCAAAGAATCCGTAGGTGTTAAGGAAGACATTGTGTTGCCCCGATTGTTTTTCGACTATGAATAAAACATGTTTTTTTATACAAGTTACCGATGTTCGTCAATTATACCCTTTCCAACTTTCATCGTTCACTTAGTCGTAATTAAAGTATTTGTATATTTAGTATATCTCCATTGTTTTTGTATCTTTCAAGATTTATACAAGATATTCAACGTTACGACTGCAGATTTTATTTCACTCCTTAAATATTTTGTCTTAAACACAATAGCATTATTAAACATTAGTCAATTTAATAGTCTGTTAATTTTAATGGTTAAAGCATTTTGGAAATATTAATACTGAGTCATCTGTTTATTCTTCTAAATCCTCTGTATATTCTCCATACAAAGTATATTAATTTATATTAAAAACATCCGTTCGTTCAACCCTTGAATCTAGTAGTACAAATCCAAAAATATTCGCACCGATAAAAATAATTCAAGATCACAGCTCGACTGATACAAACATTGTAAACCCTCAGAACCCGACAGATAATTATTTTCCAATCTGAACAGTAGCTCTTCGCGCAAATTCGAAATTGCACTTGGAAACAGAACTCAGATACACCGCAGGTGCATTTGCCGCGATTAAATAGACAATTCCCCTAGAATGCAGAGAGCGCACCTCCATCCTGAAGACTCCTCAGCAAATGTCCAGGGGATTCGAACGCAGCCAATTCGGTGTCCTATTCGGTCGCGAGAGTCAGCGGCACTGTTCCTCCCGCAATTAGGGATATGCAAAAATCGCGGTACAAATGGCGGTGGTCGGCCACCTCCACTTAGCAGTCAATCACAATTAAATACAATTTTGCGCGGGCTGCGGGGCTCGGTAATGGCGCAAAAAGAGAGCAAATTGAAATCTCCTAGCTGACAGAATGATAGATGGTGCCGGTCGGACGCGAAAAGAGCGAGAACAGGAAAGAAAGGGGAAGAGGGGGGAGAGAGACAGAGATAGAAAGACACAGAGAAAGAGAAAGAGAAAAAGAGAGAGAGAGAAAAAGGGACGGAAAGAGAGAAAGAGATCGAGACGGTGACGGACAAAAGAGAGACACCTCTGTTGCCCCTCGTGGTGTGAGAAAGCTGCTCCTCTTCGTTCGAAGTCCGGGAATCGCGAGGACGAAAATACAAAAGTCGAGCTGCTGCTGACGTTACTTACTCGCCGCTCGCTGGCGGACCGATTTCTCCGGGTAATATCACTAATCCTCTTCATCCGGAGAAAATGACGATCCGTCCTTAACGGAGAACAACGGCGACGCGCATTGATCAAGAGAGAGATTCAAAGTTGCCTCCGCGAACGTATTCTGCGACTGCAATCGAACGTGACTGTACAGAATCCTTCGGCCTTAGACGATTCCGATTACCATTGTTTTCTCCTCCAGGACGATGCTAGCGGACTTCAGTGAAATGCTATCTTCGCGATGGTCGCGAGGTATTTGTACGTTGTACGATGGATAATTGTTGTTCATTTTTTGTGTACGTCTGGTTCGAGTAAATTGGTGTGCATATGTTGAGGTGTGGGTGAGTGTGAATGCGATTTGTGTTTCGTTTGTGGAGAGTAATGGCAATTTGTTGTGTAATGTAGGATGTGATGACGGAGGATTGTGTGTGGTTTGATTTTCTAGAAAGTGATCTGGTTTGAGGAAGAGTTTGTAGTTTAGGAAATGGTGATGGGGGATGTTGTTGATTTAGTGCGGAGAAATGAGATAAACTGCTAATGGCTACTGATTGTTCTTAACGCTAGAACTACCGAGCATTTAATACGATTGATATGTAATCTCTATAAAAATTGTAATAGATTATTTTCAGTTTCTTTGGATATTCATCATAGTACTCAAGTGAAACTATTTATTTCCAGAATCATTTCAAATATTCAATGCTTTTAAGGTATGAATAACTGCGAAACAAACAAATCGAAACCAGTAATTTCGACTGGTACGTTCTAGTGTTAATTACACTTTAATTTTAGTTTCCTATTTTCCTATTTTTGTATCTTTATAATCTTCCAATTTCACAATTTCGTAATTTCTTATTAATAAATGTCTTCAACCATTCCAACTCCCATATATATCTCCAACGAAGAACAGTAAAACCCATACAAAATTACTGACAACACACCAACACGCCGACGAAGAAACACAAATTCATTAAATCTTGTTTCACAAAAATGTTCCTCCATAAACATTTCAACAAATAATTCCATCCCGAGTAATTAAGCAACAGCAAGGAAGCGAAGTAGATTTATAAATTTATTAAGACACGCTTCAAAAGCACCGACGGTGTCCCAGAGCAATAGAAAGTTGCAACACTCGTTGGACAATGAAAAATAAGAGAATCAGTGTATATTGATTAATTTGCAGGAATAATCGGGGCTGTGGCAG